CCACAGCAATAAACAGAGAGTGAAAACTTCACGATAATGATCTTTTAAAAGTTTTATTATTTTTCTTCTACTTAATTTTCTTTATCAGCAACGTTTTGAGTTAAGTATCTGTAGTATGATGCTCCAAGGTATCTGTGAGGGTAGTCAGTGTGCACTCTGAAGCTGTCAGCTTCTTCTACTTCCTTTCAGGGTTTCTGTTGTCTTTAACTAAACTGAAACTGTTCTTGCTGAACCAAAAAGGGCCTCTTCAACAACAACACAAACGTATTAACTTATTTGCAATCGCGAGAAAAACACAGGCGCGAAAAGATGAAAAGGGTCCTGCCTTCTAATTCTAAAAAGAGTGCACGAAAGTACAACAAGAATTATCCTTTAAAAGTTTTTGCCATACTTTTCAGAGGATCAGAATGGTAGTGCTGTCAGACCTATCATAAGTCACAAACACTGTTAAAGTTAAAGTAGCAATGTCTTTATCATAGTTCAAGTTTTAACGACATTTCATGACATAGCTTAAACAAATTTTAATATTGCTTACAAAAAACAAAACAAAACAAAAACACCCCTCCCAAAAAAAAACCACAAGAAAAAACAAGGGGGCTTTCGTGGTCTTGAGGTACATGTATTGTGTTCGCTTCTTTTTTCAAAATTTCCTGGGTTCAAACTGCGACAACGGTGGAACATTTTTTTCTCCAAAAATTATGTTCTCCTATCTCTTCCTTTCCTGTTCTCTCGTCATACGCTGTCATCTGTTTCATCTTCACTTTCTCCCCCACCCCTGGTCTCCTCTCTCCTCTACTCCCGATTCCACTCTTGGATCCTTCTTACTGCTGTCTTTCAACCACACCTCTGATCTTAGGGTAGGTAAGATCGAACACATAGCTTTCCGGATAAGGGAAAAAAAAAAAAAACCTCGGAGGTCTCGAGTGCAAATTGCGCACATTAAAAATCCATTGGTCGTCCTAAAATCGATAAGAGTAGGCTTTGGCCGCCACCCGGGCAAAATTCAAAAATAATATTTACTACTTCAGGTCAGACAGAAACACTAAGTCTAAAATAAAAACATACAGAGTACCTTCGGAATCGTAACGTGGCTGTCTGACCTGAAGTCAAGAAGCCATTAATTGTAAGTGGGAAAAAAGGGTCACATTAGTAAAAATCAGTTACATTGCAGATTTATGAACCAGTAGTCAGCTGACTACCCCTGAGAAGATACAAGTACCGTACTGTGATCTGGTAGGGGAACGCAAAGGAGAAATCAAGCTGACGTGACCAAAACTATATTTGGGTTTTTGAATTCGAGTTTTAGTAATTAAAGAGAAGCAAATCGACAAAACACTGGTCATACAGTGAAGGAAACAGCAAGACATTTGTTTAGTAAGTGTTTTACAGCACATGCAACACAATTAGGTAATATAAGTGCCGAAGGTTAGTGATGTTACAAGAGAGAAACATACACACAAATGGAGGACGATAGATGTTTGATAGGAAAGGAGGAGCAAACCCCACTACAACACCCGCTTACCACCCACGAAGCAAGACAGACAAATGGGAACAATCACCCTCAGCCACAGAGGCCAATGACACAGTTTTTTTGTTTGTTTTAGTAGAGGTTTTACGGCGCTCTCAACTGCATGAGGTCATATGAGCGCCAGAAGATTAGAGGTGTTACAAGAGAGTAACAAACATAAAAAAAGAAGAAGGGGAGATAAGGACGATAGTTTGATAGGAAAGAAGAAGCAAACCACACCAGAGCACCCTCCAACCACCCACAATGACACAGTTTAGTTTCAGTAAGTTCTGCGGCACTTGCAACACAAATAGGTCTAACAAGTGCCGAAGATGTTACTGTTACAAGAGAGTAACAGACAAAGAAAAGGAGGAGAGGTAACGACGACAGATGTCTGCCCGCAGACATCCACTGACACAGAATAGAACAGTGATAATTAAAATACAGAAGGAGAAGACCACATTAGAGCAGCCACGAGAAATAAATGAGAGAAAATCACAGAAAGAAAATATCTTTTTTGTTTTGTTTTACTGCACTTACAACACAATTTTGACAATAAAGTCAAAAAACTGCCAAAGATTAGAGTATTTAGAGGTATTACAAGAGAGTAACAAACACAAAAAGGAGAGATCAGGACAACAGATATTCGACAGGAGCAAACTGCGCAAAGAAAATCTATTCCTTGCCACTTCCAATGGAAGCGTTCTAGACTTTTCTGTTTGTTTGAGGAAAGACAAGCTCGTCAAACCAATAATGCTCATTTAGCGCTGGGAAAAGGACAGACAAACAGAAACAGAAACAACAGAGGGAAAGTAAAGAAGTACTATCTACCAGTGGCACCCTCCAACCGCCCGCAGTTTAAGACTTAGGAGAGTGTGACATTGAACCTTAGTAGTCTTGTTAGTTTTTTAAAAACTAAAACAACATGAGCGTGCAGGACACATCAAACATTTCAGTTTGACAGTAATTAATTCTGAATTTGGCCGAAACCTACTCTTATCGATTTTGGACACCAAGGGATCTTTAATGAGCGCATCTTGCACACGGGGCCTCCAAGATTTTTTTTTTATCCCTTATCCGAGAAGGCTAGGTGTTAGACCTTACCTACCATAAGATCAGGGGTGGGGCTGAAAGACAGCAGTAAGAAAGAGCCAAGGAGTCGCAGTAGAAAGGCTGAAGGACGAGTCAATAGCCCAGATGAGGGGGCAAAAGGAAGGGGGGAAGGGGGCAGAAAGTGGAGACAAAAGCAGACAGAGCACGGTTCTAGAGCAGGAAAAGAGGTGAAAGGAGACATTTTTTTATATAGAAGAAAATGTTCCCATCGCTGTCAGGTTTCGAACCCAGGACCTATTGAACGAGAGGTGAACACTAATCTTTAGACCATGAGAGCCACATCCCCCCCCCCTCAGAATTCTACAGTGGTGTCTGTGGTGCAGCGTTAAGTGCTTTGTCGCCACATGCGCGAGACCTGAGTACACTTCCTTTATGGAGAGGGAGAATCTTTAACTATGTATAATATTATTAAAGAATGTAGATTATTTTTAAAGTGCCTACTCCCATGTGCACACAGCTCTAGACGCTTTACATAAATGCAAGCACAACTAACAATAATTGTGAAAAAAATTAATATTTGCTTAAATGATCACAGAGATGACACACACACACACACACACAATCACGCTCACATACATTATACAGTGGAATCCTGTTATAACGAGAGGGTGGGGACCGGAGTAAAATGTCCGTTATAGCAGTATTCTCGCTATAAGGGATCCAGTAATAAATTCAAGGAAAACTGTAAAGTAGGCCTAATCTATGACTTACTATGAGTTGGGTATTCTGTTTATTTCCTTTTGCTATCTCCCCTGATGCTGATTTTGTTTCAACATAACCTCTAGGTCTTGCTTGATCAAAATTCGAATCAGATTTATTTCTCTAGCGCTAGATCTAGCGATGTGGACTGGCAGCTTGGCTTTGGCGATCAGAAAGAAAAGGCTCTGGGCAAACTTGCTCGCTGTGTTTTCCCCCAACCCATCCCACCCTGTGGTGCATTCCGTCTGCTCGCGCACGTCACATATTCGCTCCATCCATCACATTGCTGTGACCTCTCCATCCCCGTATCGGAGAAGTGAGAGGCATTGTAGGCCTCGATAATCTAAACTAGGCTTATGATGGCTTATTATGCGATGCGTTCTGCTTGTCTGCGCACGCCACACCCTCCCTACTCAGTCGCTCCGGCCTTCATTGTTGGCACACATGGGCTCTCCTATTCTTTGTTTCGCTAGATCACCAACACTTTTCTCAACTGACGAGGTTTTGCATTATGTATAATGGGCTTATGCACTGTGCACAGCAACAGCACTTTCCGCTATGACCGACTCGCATGTTTGTCTGATAGCGCAATATAACAAAGGTAAAGAGGAGAAAAAATGGGGTTTTAGAACAGTGTCTTTATAACAGACTTCTCGTTTTTTCCGGACTCGTTATAAGTGGGCTCCACTGTACATCATTACGAATGAGCCACACAAATACAGAGAAAGTGCATCGAGTATCTCAGCCTTTCTGCCGGGAGGCAGTATACCTCTCAGCCTGGGTTGGCCCTAGTTAGTAGTAGTAGTATAGGGATTTACGGCGCTCGCAACTGCGTAAGGTCATATGAGCGTGCGAAACACAAGTTGTTTACTTTCGCAAAAGTTCACTGCATGATTTGTTAACTATTAGACTTTAAAATGCTAAAATATTAAAATTCGGTGTAAATATATTTTCAATTTAAAACAACTCTTATAAATAACAATATTTGGGTTGGCCCTGACAGACAAGGTCGAAGCCTGCCCCTTAAATGATCTAAATTATGTCAATACGGGCATTAAAAAACACCTATATTATAACAAACAAAAATAATAAAATAACTAAAAACAAAACAACAGATGGTTCTGAACAGAGTGAAGCTATAGCAACATCGTCTCTATCTCAATGATTAAGTGAACAAGTAAACAAAAGTATTATTTATAAAATACAACATGTACTTTATTTGAAAGACTCATGGTTGTTTTGCAAGTATACAATTGAAATAAGTTGAACTGTTTAAGTAAATGTACACATCAAACCATGTCAGTTAACATGGATTTCTTTTTTAATTAAAAAAGGCAAGCCAGCATAACCTCAGAAACGTTGTTCATCCTGCAATTATACACACACAAAATTAGGACTGCACATCAGAAAACAGAAGGCCTGTGTGTCTGTCACTACAGGCCACAAGTGTACAGAGTACAGTCCTTATTTTCAAGTCGTATATGATGATGGTGCATGTGGCCTTTAAGTTTAATGCCTTCAAGAAAAGGCAATATAATGTGTATGTGTGACAGAGAAAAGGGTCTGGAAGTCACATAGGCTTAATTTGAGAAAATGAGAACAGTCACAGTGAAAGGTCGTATTCTTGTAAAAATTGAGACATGTTAGGACATCACTTCATCAACTATTTTAATTAACCTCACAAAATGTTTACACAAATTCTTCTAAATACGTTTTCGAAAGCTTTTAAAACATGTGTCTTACATACCATGATGAAATGGCTTCGACTTTTCACAATTTATCACCCTTTTTTTTTAATTTTTAACTTTTACAAACTTTTCATAACGTACATTCCGCAAGAACCCAAATATGTTAAATAAATTATTTTCCTTGCTACCTCCCATATTCACTAACGGTCGGTATGCGCATGCATACCTGTAGGTATCAGCAGGAAAGAATGGAAACAGCCGGCATCCCTAACCCTTTGCTACGTTCATTGACATCGCAGCTCTTGACCTTGGAAATGTCTATTGGCTCGTATTTTCTGCACCTGAGGTGACCATTGCTATTATTTTGTCTTTGTTGATTCATTATTTCATTGAGCATTTGTTCACCCTATAATACCAGCATTGCTGTAATAGATACATATTTTTAAAAATAAACTTTGTTTATTTCGAAGAGATACAAGCATTTCTCAAGAAGCTATTAATTATACAGAAAACTTTAAAGTTGTTTGTCTAAAATTAAGTCAAGTGTAGTTTGTGTAACACTCACTCACAAAAATGACCATATCTCATAAAACTATTAGAGACATCTGAAAAATATTAAAAACAGAGCCACCAGGAAAAGTTGTTTTACGCAGAAATACAAAAAACTACAAAAGTTAAAAAATATGCACATTTGGACCCTTTTCTCAGACACACACACATAACACTGTGCACTGGGTATTTTTTTACATTTTGCCCATTATGTTTTTCGCTACCACATGGAATTCGTCATTTGATTCGCCCAGTGTCATGTGTTTCTATGCAGTCATGCCCCGTTCAACATTTCGTGAATGACTTAAATTCACAGACATCTATAAAAACCACAAAAATCATTTATTCAAGTAGTGCACAAAAAAAAACAAAAAAACACCAACCTGAAACAAACTCGTATATACAGTATACACAAGTATGATTCCCATAGCTGCCACTCAGAAATTTTAAAAAAGGAGGAAATTCACGCGAAGGCGTACGCACGCTCTCCGAAACCAGTGAGATCCAGAGGCAATATATACTGGAAAATCTAGCCTATGGTTTTGGAAGTGAAAACTGTCATATTGTTAACCATAGGCAACTGAATTAAAATGTATTTGAAAAAAACAACAACAAACAAACAAACATAAAGGCAGTAAGTTGACTAACAAGCATTCGAGTCAATTTGACAGTTTGGACTTGGTGACTAAAAATTCAGTGGTTTTTTTTGCCAGCTGGTGTCTTATAAAAAGATTTCTTTCTCTTTAAACGTGTACATACATAGACGTAGAGCAGTATCGGATCAAGGATACACAGGCACTCCTGTACAATTGCGGTCCCGTTTGCACTTAGTGCCCCTGTAGTGTGTTTCTTATTCAGAGATCTAAACTGAATTAAAATTATAGCCTAGGCTATCTAATCTAGATCTAGATATATCTAAATATGTGTAGATCTAGATTATATCTAGATCTAGAGACAGATTTTCTAGATCTAGATCTAGATTCACTTCTGCAGCAGCCCCAATAGCCGTCATGTAAACAAACGGGACCGCAATTGTAATTGTACAGGAGTGCCGCGGGCCGCGATTTCTTTCGCAAAAAACGGCTAGATCTAGATCTAGTTCAATTTTCTAATGAACTTTTCAAGTCGCACACCGGCTGCTTCTTTCTCATTCCAGCTCCTTTTATTTTTGCATTCTGAATCAATTTCTCTCGAATTTCCGCCAATTTCAATGACAACTCGGCGCGCTAACGTCCCGATGCCCGATCGACACTGTGTTGCTCCACAACAATAAACAAAGTGAAACTAGCGCTGGGCCTAGAAGAACGGAAGTAGAAAGCTACGGGCGGACATGCGCAAACCGCGTTTTCGTCTCTCTCCCGGGTCGGTGTTTTCCGCAGGGGAAAAAAAAAGTATGAAATTTGCGACCAAGAGCGGTCCAGCGGAGGAAGGGGGAAAGTTGCGGGAAAAGCTAGATGTAGCGGAGTTTCCGCTATTTAGCGGGAAAGTGGCAGCTATGGATTCCAAACTCACACCTGTCTTTGAAAGACATTGAATATAAGCTATAACGATATTATTATTATATAGAACCAAAGTTAAAATCAAAATTGGGAAAAAATACTTTCAGAAAAAAAAAGAAGGAATTTTTGGTTCCACCTTGACTAGCATTTAAGTAATACATTTTACAATATTTCTTGTACTTGAACTGAGTTTTAGCTATCATAATTATATATGTGAGACAGCGTGGTGAAATCAGGCGCTCATCAAAATAATGAAAGTCAAGAAATGGGCATTTTCCCGCAGGTTTGGGAATTTTTATCGATTTTTCGTTTTTTGGTCCAACACCTTTCATGCCCATTAAAGAGATCATTTCTGAGGGGATTTTACAGAAAAACGTTGATTAAAGGCAGAAGAAATGTAAATGTTCAGTTTTCACGGACTCTCAAGCTTAAAAAATAACTCAACTTTGGCAGCCATTTTCTCGCTAATTTTACCTCAGAAACCAGATGACCCTCACCTCCTTCAATCACACATATCTCGACTTCTATTCAACATACATGAATATTATTTCTCCCAAAACAAGGAAAATGGACAGGCCTTAAGATAATACCATCAACTCCATATGCCCAAAAATTGACGAGAGCCTGATTCCACTGCGTCGTGCCACATGTATTTTAACTAAATAGTAGCTGACATTATATTACATTTTTAATCACGTTGCCTGCAATAACCAGGCTCCAAGAATAGAGAAGCCAAATCAGTTACTGAGTTACTGTATGTCTAATAGAGAGTGGAAAAAGCTGAGTTTCATGAACGCTTGTCCACATTTTACTTAGGTGGGCGTTCACTGCCAAGAGTGAAACGCGAGCAGCTAAAGGGATTTGATAACAAAAACAACAACAACATACTTATCTGGGACCAAAAAAAAATAATCTGAAGCATACAATTACAAAAAAATAAATTATAAAAACAGAATGTTTTGAATGCATACAGGAAGAGATATAAATATAAACACCTTTAAACTGGCCTTGTTTCTTTCTGTTCGTTTTCCAAACTGTCATATTGACTTTAAGAAAAAAGACAAACCATAATGATGAACCCTGGAACACTTGTAGAAAGAAAGCAATAAATCGTGCTGACAAGAACAGCTCAAAATACCATACTGACCAACTTAATCTCTTAGTCTCAAGCATCTCTCTCAATCATACTCAATGTCTGAAACGTTCAAAACTAGTGACAAATATGTGCCAAGAGCCACTTTCATTTTCAGGCCTACACACCCAAGACTCAAACAGTGACAAGCCAGGCCCTATTCTGATTGCCATGGCAATAACACACAAAACTGGTAAACAAATAAGAGACTGAGAAAATTGTGCACATGAAAATACACTGATACACCCCCCCCCCCAAAAAAAAAACAAAAAAAACAACAACAACCAACAACAAAATGTCTGGGTATTGGTGCAGTTTCATGTTGATGGATTCTGTCAAAAGGAGAAAGTTCTAGATTTAGTTTCTCTGCTTGCATCCCTTTAGTGTAAAGATACACACTTTCACAATGATGGCCTATTCTTTCCAGTATACCACCTCAATCTCCAATTTGCCATTCAAAACAGTAGCTTGTACGCCTATTCCATCTAGGAGTCAGTTTCCATGATTTTGAATGAACTTCAATTGTGAAACTGGATTGAGAAATACAAAGCTATGCACCGCATCCTCAATGTTAAAATCATTAAGGCTCCATATCATTTGTATCTATAGAAGTTGACCGAGTACTTTTTAAATTGATAGTCAATTTCTAAAAGATACTTGTGTGAAAATAAAGAAAAATGACAAAAAACGTCAGCGTTGCCATACTCAGGAATGCAACATAATCAGTTGCGGTGAGACTGAGTTTTTTGTTCGGTAGTTTTGCTGTTTTGCAACCCAAATCATTCCCCTCAGTCACACACACACATTTGTGTTGTGATTATTACAAAGTGAATGAAAACTACTTGGTAACCTCTCCTGTTGTCACAATTTCTTTGATAAAAGATAGATGGACCGAATGAGAAAGTCAGTTTTGATTCGAGTTTGTTTTATTGTTTTAGAAAGTGTCTTACGGCACTTGCAACACAATAAGGTCATAATTATAAGTGCCAAAGATTAGAGGTGTTACAAGAGAGTAACAAACACAAACAAGGAGGGGAGATAAAGACAATGGACGTTTGATAGGAAAAAAGAAGCAAACCACACCAGAACACCCGCCAGCCACCCTGTAGTTGACAGTACTTTATTTGAATCCATAACCATGAAACCAACCTAAATTAACACATATACCAGCTCCAACTGTTATTGACCAGCCTATCATGGGAGCCAGCTGAACAGCACAAAGGCATCACAGAATATTGGAGAAGACAAATTGTAAGGAGGCCAAAGAAAACCCATCAAAAGTCACAAAGAGACTAAACTGTTAGTGCCAACAACTTCCCAGTGTAGAAGAAAGCAAGAAAGACTTGCACAAGCTAAAAAGTGTAAGCGATTTTTTTTTATAAACTCTTATAAATCAACAAAACATTTCCTAGAAATAAGTTCTGAAATGATGCACACTGTAAGATTATTGTCTGAACCACACAACAGGTCAGAACAAATTCTAAAAGGGATGTTCGGTAAGACAATTTCGTTTTAAAAATAATTTCTATTCTTAAAAAGGGAACATCTGTTTCTTTTCAGGACGATGTAGTAAAAAGCAGAATTACTCAGACAATGCTGTAAGATATTAAAAAGTCTTACATAAATCGTAAAGACATACCAGTGTGAAGGGTTTTCTCACACCACCAGACAACTACTACCCTCTACAGAGTGAGTATTAAGGGGGTGGCTCCGAGGCCAGAGCCTCCCTCAGGTCCTGCAGCACAACTGACAGCTGGGACGGCAAATCACTCGCTGTTTTCTGAGGGACAAGACGAAGGCTGCGCTGGTACAGAGACTTGATGCTGGTATTTGTTTTGTCTCTGAGAATGAATAATAAGAAAACAAATTGACGATGTGAGAGAAAGTAAACGTTACATTTTTGTTGACTGCTAATATACAAGAAACTGACAACATCGACAAATACTGTGCTAACATTTAACTCTTTCCCTACCAGGCCAAAATCCACCACTGGCCCAGGGCTTTTCCCTGACCTATTTTTACACCTCTACCCCGCCAAAAGATAATGTCAAAACATCCAACTAAACACACACAAAACCATATTTTATGGCCCATCCAACTGAGGGTTAAAAAACGATCTATCAGATGGCGATACAATATTAAAGATTTATTCCAATTATATTACTTTGGGGTTTCTAAAAGTGATTATGCAATATCGAAGGCGTCATATGAAATCAACAATTTTCCAGCTTTGAAAGGTCATATCTTAAAAAGTACAACAGCAGCATAATTATAACATCCCAAGTAGGTTGCCACAAGTAATGCGAAGAAATGCTGAAAGTTATGTATGTGTACCTAATATAGAAGTGAAAATATGAGACATATACTAAAGTCAGGGTAGCGCTTTTTCCCCACATATTTACATTTCGAAGGGGACAAAAAAAGCGCTGAAATGACTACAATTCGTCTCTCAGTGCTATATTTTCCTTCGTATCTGCTAACAGGAAGTCTATTCTATCATTTTGAAAACGTGGATCGGCCGAGAATTTCGTGTCTTTTCATTACTGGGTTGGAATAGATAGTAAGCCACTCGAGCCGTATTTTGCGGCTCTCAGTCCAGCGAGGCAAGGTCCGCGAGCCGCAAAATGTGGTAGGAAAAGTGTTAATAATCCTTGAATTTCAATTTTTTCCCCTCTGAAGCTTCATATCGCTAAAAATCTAACCAGCTATGCTCACTTAACCCTTTTTGAGCCTAAACCGACCCTCCCGTCATATTGCCATACCGGCTTTTACCAGCCTGACACACCCACCTTTAGTGCAGGCTTAGAAATAAGAACATTCAACTCTAAATTTAGATGCTGACGTCTAAAGTCTTTGTAGGTGAAATTTCATTGAAATACATTGCTTGGATAAAAAGCAAAAGCCATTTCTTTGCTATACCCCCTGAACCTCTGGAAAACGCTGAAATAATTTGGTTCTGAGGAGTCATCAGCTGGCCGCCATATTGGTTCTGCTGTGCTGACCTGCTGACCTCTATATGGCGCTAAGAGGGTTAAAGTAGTCTATTTTAAACTGGTGGGGGGGGGGGGTGCGGGGAGATATCTTTGAACATTTTATATTGGCGGGGGGGAAAAAATCACTTTCATTATAGGCAAGCATGTACGATATACCAAGGCTATCTTTATGCTCAAGTCGACAAGTTTGACTTACACTTTGAAATAGGCTGGTAGGTATGTATTCAGACGAGACAGCAACTGGCCAATGGGCGAGGTTGAGGAGTCGAATATGCTGATGAGGTCTTCACTGTCCTCCTCTCCCAGGGCCAGCCTTTCCACAGCTGACTGTAAGTCGCACAGATGCAGCAGCAGGCTACGGTAAAGCTTCTTCTGACTTCCTCCAGAAGTTTCTAAAGCGGATAAAAATGACGAGATCGAAGTTTTGTTGCAAGTCTTAAATAAGTTCAAACACATGTTCAAAAAGTAATTTCAACTTCTGAACAATTTGCCAGGGACTCCTTAATCAACATGTAACAACGTGCACATACAACATCACTTTAAACAAACAATTTTCATTTAGCTAACAAAGTTCCCTTTTTTCTTTTTTTTAAGCACACACACATATCGTACCCATTATTTTGTCCAAAATGCACTTAAATAAAGAGGGCACTTTGGACCCAAAAAATTCTGAGGTGACGATTTGTATACAATATACCGCACTCAAAAATCAAATACCTCCAAAGATTAGCAAAGATCCAACATTGGGGCATAACAAGTTAACTCATATTGATTTTTTTCCCTTTCATCTGGTGACCAGTAAAATTTCTAAAACCATCTTATTTTGACTTTTCAAGATGGCAATGTATTCAATACTCACTGTGACTCCAGTTGTCACGAATACTTTTAGTCCACAAATCTTTCACAGCAATTTGTGAGTTGCTCCAACCAAGGCACTCATACAGATCAAAGCACACCTGGTAGCTCTCCTCACACTTTTGAAGAAGAGCCCGCTTACGAGTTGCACTTTTCTTTAAAAAAAAAAAAAGAAAAAGAAAAAGAAAAATTCAAACATCTTTCTTCACCAAACATTGGTTAAATCGACAGTACCTATTCTAATATTGAAATTTGTAAGCATGTTTTGGCTGTGAAAAATCTAACCACTGGCTTCTATAAAACTTTCATTATTTTAGGAAAACACTTTTTACTCAAGAATTCTGCGGCCTCTAGAGGTCCTTTTCCTCTTAAACTATGATGAGGGCCCTAAGATGAAAAAGTCCAGAGGGTATTCTATGCTACAATCCTGAAGTACATTTGTATTTTAGTATTTCAATCGTAATAAACATGCCCACTCAAAATTATGTGCATTACAAAGAAACCATATTCGCGACAGCAGGATCCAATACAAAAGTAATTCATGAAAGCAGGATCCCATACAAAATAGACCGGCGTTAAGACACAAGGCAATTTTCTCCAAACTTTAGAAAACTTTTGTTCCCTGGAAAACAGTCAATAAGCAGTAATTAAAAAAACTGTGAAAGCAGCAATGTTCTTAGATTCATATATTATAATCTACAAACTGATGGCCTACACAATTCAATAAAAATAAAAGAATAAAAAGTGTGTGTTCTGTAAAGAGCTGACTGTGCACTTACAAACTTTGCCATCTCCACCTCGTACACCCTGGCCAGATTCAAGTGATTACGGGCAGCCATGATCTGGTTGTTCCTTTGAAATTTTCCACTGTTCTCAGGATGGCAGTAGAACAATGATTTGAACAAAAAATCTTTCATGCTCTTTAAATGCTGAGGAAACCACAAAGAAACAAACAAAATCATCTTGGACAGCTTTCTTATAATATTTTGGTAAATATGAACAAAATGTGTGACAAGTGAAATAAATACATGTAAGAATGTTGGAGAAAATAACTTTATCTTGTGCTTTCCTTATCAAAATACACAACATAACTCCTGAACCGCTGGTAAATACCTTAGGTGCACAAGTCTGCACCTTCCCATTTCAAGGAACACAAAAAGATGTTGTCTTGGCAAAATGAGAAACATAAAGATATGACAAGCCATTGAATCAATCATGAAAGACATAAAACAAAAGATATTACAAGAGATGTAAGCATTCAACAGCCCTTCCAATAATTTACAATCAATATACTGAAAGAACCTTCAATTCACAAATTTGTATCTGAAATAACAGGTTAACCCAAGATTAAGAAAGCGATATTGGTCATAAGAAACAGACTCACTCCCAGCAAGTTTGGCTCCAGTTATCACACACAACAAGTGATTCTAAAAGCAGACAGTAACATCAAAACAATTTACATCCAACCTTGAAAACCTTTGTGAAAACAATACCTGATCAGTGACAGGATGAGTGCCCTTGGAGAAACAACAGGCCATATCATGGTACACCAGTCGCAGAGTGTGACAAATCTTTTCCCGGGTGTCGTCCATACTTTCTCCCCTCTCCAGTAAGTTGAGTGCCTTTTCATTGAACTCAATACACTGGAAAGAAAAGCAGTTACCTTTTTAACAATTGCACACTTAATTTTGAGATAAAGGTCCCGCCGATTTCAACCATTTTCTTTCTGGGACAGAACAAAAACAATAAGGTAAAGAGGGAGGACCTACCAATGACACCCCCCGGCCATCCGATTGCAGAAAGTGGAGACGAAAGCAGATGACAGAACAGAACATAGCTAGAGAGCAGGAAGGAGGTGAAAGGAGAAAAAATATAGAGAAAAAATTTTTCCAGCGCTGTCAGGTTTCGAACCCGGGACCGATTGAATGAGAGGCGAACACCTTACCACTGGACCATGAGAGCCCTCTGCTTTGGTATCACAGGTGAGTACTAGCAAGGGCACAGAATTGCAGAAGCACTAACTGAAAATAACGAACGGACACTTTGAAAAGTGAAGGGCATGTTTTATACAGACCTGCCACTCTATGAAATCTAAAAATCGGGATCTCGGGGAGGCTCATCGACAAATCCCAGGGTGACTGCCACACTGATTTCTCGTTGTTTTTAGCTTTAGTAAGAGTTTTTCGGCGCTTGCAAAGGTCATATGAGCACGCGAAACACAAGTTGGTCGCTTTCACAACAATTCATAACTCGGCTTGGTTTAGGTCAATATTTCGATTAAAATGTTCAGAATTTTGTGGTAAAATCACTGTTTTTAAAATAACATTTAAAATAATTTTTTAAATAATGCTATCTGCAATTTATTGCAAAGGCCAATGGTCTTCATAAAATCGAAAACTCTGTTGGGATCAGCAAAAGAGAACAGATCTTGCAATTTTTTACATTTAAAATACTTCCATCGGGTCTCTCCGAAGTCTGGACATTTTGTTAAAATGTCTCTAATGGTAAAGTCTGTGTCCGGTTTCTTATCTCCCTGCAAAATTTTCCAGGGGGCGGGCGTATATACATTGACCTTAACCTTTATTACATAAAAAAAAAAAACAATACCCTGGAAGAAGACTCGGAGAGCTCACCTTATCCAAGTACTTCCTCTTCACTGCAGGTATGGGTTCCTTGAGGTTTGACCGCTTCACAGTGCCTGCTGCCAGGTTGTAAAGATAGGCCACATTACAGATCACATGAGCAGCAGTGTTCTTTTCACCAACACTCTCAAACATCTGGACAGCCATTTTGAAGTTGTTCAGTGCCTTCTCCCAGATGCTCTTGACACTATCAAAGCTCTCACAATTTTCTAAAAGAGAAAGGAGAAAAAAGAAAAATTCTGACAAAACATGTCATCCAGTCTTGTGTCGACGATTCACTTCTTACAGCTACAAATTCGTTACAAACAAGCTGAAACATCATGACATGACAGTATCCAGCAGATAAGAAGTCCAGATATTTATTTCACTGACTGAGCTTAAACAATCCTCTTTTCACCGGAGATCAGATACAGCAAAGTCTTTTAGACTTGAGCTTTAATCATATTTCCCTTTAATCAGACGCCTATTTGTGTTATTTTTCAAGAGTATTACACCCTACTAGATGCAAATAGGTCATTCAAAAGGCAGAACCCAAACAGGTGAGTGATGAAAATTTCCTAGCAAAATGAGAATCGTGGTTGACAGGCTCCCACAATGAAGAGCAGAGCACAAGACACAAAAACTTCTAAAATTATTAAGGTGTACAAGTGGAATCCAAACAGACATGGAAGTTGCATCCCCCCCCCCCTTCCTTTGGTACCACATCAGATTACACAGATCCCCAGTCCCCTCAAGTTGAAGGGGGAGACAAAATTAAGGAACAGGGACACAAAATTCACATCAAAGTTAAGACATTCATAAATCTGAAGCCCTCCTCCTCTTTCAACATTCACTTTCGTCACCTATCAGTGTAAAAACAGCTTACGTATCCTCCAATATTTTGAGTTGACATTTTGCATTAAATGGGTAATTCCAAAAATAAAAGCGAAATGTGATGCTCATAAATCCAGAGAATCTATCCTAAGCTTTATTTTAAATTGGAAGACCCAATTAGAAACTTAAAAGTATTCAAAAAGAGAATATAAACGTGAAAGAATACATGGAGGATAAAACATATTTAAACTAGCAGATGAAAAACAGAAAAACTTCAAAAGAATCTGGAATGGAAAAAAGGTGAAATTTCTCAGCATTTGGGGATAATACATGACAACCCACTTTCCAGTTAAAGCAGTGAAACATAAGACTAAAAGGCACAATTGTCGAGCGACATGTGTTAATGAGAATTGTACAATAAATTAATTAATTGAGAATTGTAAAAGAAATTAATTAATTAATTAATCAATTAATTAAAAAAATACAAATGCAATGGTGACCAAGAAAAACTTACTTAGGGTCCTTTCTTTGAGTATTTCCAACTGGGTATTTGCAAGTCCAACAAGACAAGCGGCATGGTTCTTTTTCAGATCAAACTTAAACTGGGCATTTTTGGTCTCCAAAGCAGAGAATTTAGCTATTTGTTGAAACAGCTCCTCAGCAGTTGACCAGTTTGATTCTTGATTTGTGGGCCAGTCATAAACCCATGAGTTTTCTGAGGATCAAAAAAAAAAAATTGTTATACAGCATTATCTTCACATCAGACATCATTACTGAACAAGCACAGGGAACATACCACAAAACTATTATTCGACATGAGCAGAATGAAATATAGAGAAAAAAAAATTAAATTACCTAAACATTGCCACCCATCTCTACAAAACATTTAGAGAAGATTTTAAGTACATTCCAGTTCAATCAATTTTACTCCTAACTTGTAATTCTTTTCTGCATCTGCAATAGCACGATGGCATTTGCCCACTCTTTAGGTTTCTTTATTGGCAAGGAAGGACGACTGTTCTTGCTGACACTCACTCGGCGCTGGAAGAGTGGCCTGGGCTGAGCTCAGTATAGCAGCCTCCTCCTCCCCAAGCTCCTCAAACTCACGAGCGCACGTTGCCCACGTAGAAGTCAGAGAGCTCCGAGCCTTCGCCGCGAGGAACAGCAACATGAGATACAGCTCCTGGTGCTGACTGTTCCCACAAACAGAAGGCACCAAAACCTCCTGAGCCTCTGAGGAACGTAGAAGATATGTTACAACAATGGGAGCTACAGCCAGGAAGAAAAGATGCTAGTAATAAAAAGCTATGCTGTCGCTACATGTTTTCAAATGCTCGAGGGCATAAAATACCCGACACTCCTCCATTGACTATATATATCTGGGGTCTCCACTCTCTATGAGGCCACATGTGGGTTGGTGTGACATCACGCACAAAAGATTTGCTTTTTACTCACATTACGATTGGGTTCCACGAGTAGACCATTACCAAATGTTGTTGAACAATTAATGTGTTATATTTCTTGAAAATGTGTTTTGTCTATATGCCCAGTCTTTAAAGACACCCTCTATTTGTCATGTGCATCACCTCTCAAACTAGTGGAACAGAATCTTTTTATAAGAAATGACACTGTTGATTTTATTTATTTGCCTCAGTAAAATAGATATAGGAAGTAACGAAGATATTCAGGAGTTTGCCTTTTCCAAACTAAGGTTATTGAAGAGAAAGGGCAACTCAAGGAGGACCAAAAAGTGGAAAAAGAGCCTTGCAAACTCCCCTATTCTACCTCGAGAATGCATTATTTACTCCAAATAAGTTATCGGAGCTGCAATTGAGAAATTCAACATCTGAATTAACGATGTACATTCCATGAACAGGACAGAGTGAGAACAGAGAGAACCACAAGGGATGTACAAGGAGGTAAAATCAATCAATCACCAGTGAAGACAGATCTGCCACTAAGCCTTCATGAAAAGACAAAACATGAAAAATATCAATTTTCTGTGTTCCCAGGGAAATCTTTTCTTTTTATTCACAAAAGAAGATGAATGAAGAAGACTATGGCAATCTATTCCAAAATCTAGTGTATGGTACTTGCCAAAATTTTTGTCTTTAGGGTATGGTAAACAAAAAAAGTAGAACATTCATATAATATGGATATTTATATCATGATCTGATTTATGAATTAACAAGACCTGCTTTCTAAAAGACAACTCACACAGTTTATTTGAGTTTAACAAGTCTTACACGGCGCCTGCAACTGTATACAGTAATTATTAGTGCAATGCAGTTAACGTCACCTTAAAAAATACCCTGAAAATAAAAAGTGTCAGCTTACTCACCGTAGCAATGCATAGCATAGCGCAGGTGCCTCAGGGTGTGTCCATATTTATTAATTTCAAAGAAAGACTTGGCCAGCACAAAGTAAGTTATGGCCCCTTTCCTCAACAGATTGAACTTTGCCTCCACATGCCAGGACTCGGAGGAGCTGCTGCCTGATTGATGACTGGCGTCAAATCTACTTGAGGAGCTACTGCTTTCCCAACTGCAGCTCTCACTCTTAGATTCTGCAGCAACGTTTTTATCCCCTGCACAGACATCGTTTGTCTTGAGAGAAGAAGGATTCTGCTTTTCCTGACTGTCTGTGGCAGTTTTCAGGGGCGTGAAGTGCAAAGGAATGGCCTGGGACGGATTGCACATCCCTTGGTATTCTTCCTTGACAGTAGAGTGAGTGGGGTGAAGATGGAGATTCTCTTGCTGATCCTCTTGTTCATCTTTGGTGTTGATATTGAGTGGAGCATAATGAAGAGGGATTGCCTTGGATGGGCTGCATGTCTGTTGTTTCTCTACCAAGCCAATATTCTTTCCTCTTGCTTGATCCTTGTCTACACAGTTCAAACCCTGAAAAATACAGTTTTCAGTATCTGTCATATATATGCCTGAACTATAAAATTAAAACCACAGAGTAAATAGAAAGTATTTTTCAACAGTCCTAAGTATATTGAAACTATATGTGAGTAACATCCACACGTACACACTAACCAAAAATATTTATATCAACCTCAATAGCATGAGCACTCCACCCTAAGAAATGCAGAAGGAACTTGTCAGTGAAATTGGTTTGGGAGGTTTACATTTTTATAAAGAAAAACCCTTGATAAAGGGATTGAAAGAAAATACTTAAGTGACCTTTCTTAGCCTTGCAAATTATGCAAATGATATATCCCAGGTTGTGACAAACACAAATCAATGACTAAACTGACATATAATCTATCTCTGAAACAAGAAATAGATCTGTCACTAGCATTTTTACCTACTCTTCCTTAAAGAAAACAAGGCGATTTTTAACAATGTAAATAAAACTGATTTAAAGCATATTTCATGGGGATGTGACATGTCAGTAACAGCTAATAAAGATTTAAAATATGTCCAAGAGTATACAACATTGACAAAAAATTTTATATTTAGTAAATACAGATTTAAGAAGCTCAAAGCTAAACCAGTTTCACTTGGGTGGTGGTCTTACAAGAAAATCTCAACTCTTCTTGTTCCAGAATGAAGAAAGAATTTAAAAGATAACTATTTTATTGAACGTTCTGTACAGAAAGAGTCAGGTGTCCAGAGAAGGGGGGGCGGGGGGAGGGCAGAAAGTTGAGGCCAATGCAGACAACAGAACATGGTTACATAGCAAGAAAAGAGGTGAAAGGAGAACATTTTAGAGATGAAACTTTTCCGTTGGTGTCAGGTTTCGAACACGGGACCAATTGAACGAGAGGCGAACACCATAACCTCTTGACCACGAGATCCCCCAAGATGCCTCAAAGCATACAAAGATTTAATAAATCTAAAGAGCAACCAATCATTCTTTGAACATACCTTGCGAATGTGACCAAGTGCCATTTTACACCTTTCGTCAGTTTCTCCAGCGATACGGCAGGCCTGCACAATATCCCATGCCTTTTTCTTGGTCATGCCACGAACAACAAGTTCCTTTAAAGCTACAGCATTTTGCACCCCCTCCTGTGATGTGTTCTCTGCTGGTTTGTGCTCTATGGCCTGCATACTGCTCCCTGAGTTACCCTCATCGCCTAGATTTGTGCCTTTGTCTGGTCCAAGACCGTCATCTGACGTGCTCTCTTCATCGTACAGATCAGAAGGCTGCCATGGACAGAAAAACAAAAAAAACAACGTATCAGACATCAAATTTCAACCAAGTGTATTCAAATATTACCTGACAAACCTTGAAAAAAATAACTTAGTAACATTACAATCAGAAAAAAAACAAAAACAAATCTCTTCTCCCCATGCCACTCTTGTGGTACTTTATTTTCCACATGCACCAACTGGACACTAGGTAAGACTGCAAAAACAGGTCCCTTTGTATACACAATATATTTTCCAAGTACACACACACTTAACTTTGCATAGTATCTCTGGCATGAGTACATCTCAAAAGGACAAAGCTTATTCACTGAATTTATTTTAAAAATTTAAAAGGATACACATCACACAGCTTCTGCTTACAAAAAAATACAATAATCATAGTAACCAGATCTGACAAAGTTACACAAAAACAGCTCTCACCATATCTGGGATTTTGCCCTTTTCATGCCATATGTCATTGACAGATCTGTCCGGAACCCACATGTCACAGAGATGAAAATGAGCTTCAGCACAAACCTGTAAAAAGACAATATGAATGTGAACACACATAACATCAGCAGCAGTGATGACTATAAACTACTGTAAACAGGGTGACTGCCAAACCATCTTCTCAACTTTCCAGGGGGGAGGGTGGTATCCATTTTTTAACTGCACATTACATAACAATGATGGGGCACACCGCCTGTTTCTTATCGCATTGATGTTGCCCCTGCTGTTGGTGGTGGCCAATATGAACATTTGTAAGACATGAAATAAAAGTTGACTGTGAGTACAATACTTGTGACCTTGCTTGAGTTTTTTATTGCTTTTCCTTACTACAAAATTGCGTAATAAAACTAACTAAATCGGTTCATTCTTGTTCAATAACCCTGTATTTTCACGGGTCTTTTCCGGAGAAATTTACTAATTTCGTCAAATTTCCAGGTCTCTGCGATTTTATTCAAATTTCCCAAGATATTCTCAGGGCCTGGAAGTCACCCTGTGTAAACCTCAACAACTGCCTTTTCATTATCTAAACTTTACATCTCTTTAAAAGCATGCGCCATTGAAAAAAAGGCAAAGGAGAAGACCACATCTCAGTGCCCACCTCGCTGTGCTTTGTATCATCAAGGAGTCGGAGACAGTTCTCCAGCATGGCACGTGAGTCCGCCGATCTCCTCTGGCCACTCATCTTCAGTTTGGTTCCCACACGATGACACAAGAGACCCACGGGCACAGTGAAAGGGTTATCCCCTTCTACAATCTGACTCTTGCAGTAATCGGTAAGATCATACAGTTTCACCATCTCATCATCATCACCTGGAAAGTCACAGGGTAAACCAGCAGAGATTTTACACACAGCACAGAAAAAAAATTGTATGCCACTGATTCTGACAAAATTGTTAATTGTCAGCAGAACCAAAAGCCCTAAATGTCTTCATAAACAAAATCTTCAGTGCTAAAACTTTCGCTTCAGCGCTCTTTTCAAAGTAATCAGTAAGACATGACAGTTATCTTTTAAATATAAATCATAGTATGAGACATTATCTTACAAAAATTTGTCAAAAATGAAGTCATATTCCGGGGGATAGGCTGGGAGGCTGAAAGAAAGCCTTATAACATGGACACTGCAAAAGGTCTGATGTCCACCACTACACAGAAATCCAAGGGCAAACATATTCTTTAAGTAAAATTTAAATCCAATATGTAAATGACATTCTACAAACCAAATATCCATAAAGAAAGCTAAAAAGGATATTCATAATGGTACTTTTGTTTCTTTCTTAATAAGCATTTTACAGCACTTGCAACACAATTAAGTCATATAAGTGCCAAAGATTTAGTTTTAGTTTTAGTAAGCGTTTTACAGCACTAGCAACACAATAAGGTCAAATAAGTGCCGAAAATTAGAGGTGTTACTAGAGAGCAATAAACACAAAAAAGGAGGGGAGATAAGGATGAAAGGTGTTTGATAGGAAAGAAGGAGCAAACCACACCAGAGCATACGCTAATCACCCACTCATGATGGTATTAAATCTGTCTGGTTATACAAAAAATGAACACACCTACCTTTGTACAACCAATAGGTGTGACCTTCAACAGCTGCATTAGCTTTAATAAAAGCCATAATGTTTCGAGCTATATCCATCACTTCTTCTGGATCAAAACTAGAGCCATTCAAATGTGGTATGTCCTCTGTCCGAATAACTTCATATTTCTGTGATGAAAGAAAACATGAATTTTTAACAAATATGAAACCTACCTAAAAAAAAATAAGAAAGAATCAAATCTGCAATAAAGATGCATTACCACATTATCAAATCTTGCAAAGAGAACGTACCATAATTTTTAAAAAGACAATAGTATCCCTATCGGGCAAAATTCTGGATAATCTTTTTTACACGAGACATAAAAAATTTGACTTTGTAATTCTATTTTGGAAAACAGGTACATAGCAGAGAACTGCAATTTGTGGTTACACACAATTGTACATGTAACCACAGACGATGGTATTTTGCGCTTGATACCATTAAGTTAAAACATCAAGTACTCAGGCTACACAGGAAGAGCAAGGCCAAACTAAAAATGGATTGAAGGAGTCGAGGGAACCCTGAATCGAAAGAGCTGCAAAGTTGGCCTACCATAGAAAACTGCAGCTCCCCTCAAAGCTCAGAGGCAACAGAAGATGAAAAGTAAAAGTAAACTGAAGTACTGCTATGGTAGGTATAAAGTTGTGCAAAAAGTGATACCTGTACAAATCCATCCACATGGAAACACATAGCAACTTCTGGCACATTGCTCATGAGGTTGTCTAGCCAGTAGTCCAGACCAGTCAGAACACTGATGGGTGGAGACCTGGCATCCTTTAGCCTCAAGCTTATACATGGACGAGGAGAGCTTCCACTTCCAAAAATAGGCAAGTCACTGTCAATGAGCATACTGATATCCTCAAACGTCCAAAGCGTTTCATGGTGAAAGCCCTTGAGATCCTGGAACATAGTTCAAAGCTTGACATCGTCTTCACATGGAAAATTTTTTAAATTTAAAATCAACATTGCCTTCACACAAGAAAAGTTTTAAAAATTTCAATCGACATTGCCTTCACATGGGGAAATTTTAAAAATTCTTTAATAGACATTGCCTTTACATGGGGAAATTTTAAAAAATGTTAATCAACATGCAATACTTCAGTCTGAAATGACAAGCCTGGTCTTTGAATACAGTGTACTCAATGAGAACAACTCAGACACTAGGGGCTGACTGACTGACTGACACTCACTCTTCTCTTGCTAATCAAAGGAAACACAGTCCTGGCTATTTAGTTCATTTAAAGGAAAGGGTTTTTTTGTCTATCAGTATGTTTTGACATAACAGAAAAAAAATCCCACTAAAAACTTGAGTGGAGTCTTGCATATTGTATACGCTTTCAAGACTTGTTTAAAATAAAATCTTAAAAAGTACTGATTATAGCTAAAACCACGACAGATGGCAAAATTAAGCTGTTGGATATTGTTTACATTAATTATCAAGTAGAGAGACTGACACTACAGCAATAAATACTGTTGATCCACTTAAACCTCTTCATACAAAATTTGTTTGACAGCACAAAAATATATTTTAAAAGCAAAGCCTGAATTAAACACCAGTACTCACCTCTGAAAATTCAGGGACAGAATTCACTTGCTTTGCGTGGCCATCTGTGGTGTTCAAAGCTGTACTCTGGTTCTCTCCAATACTCGCTGCAAAGCTGGAAACAAAGAAAATAACAGTCCAATATAAATCAGGCCGTTCAGATCCGAGACACAAGCTTAGATGTAACTTGGATCTTCTTGGAATGAAAACATCCTTTTTTTCAAGGTCTGATGGTTCAAATATTACGACATTATATCTCTTGAGCATAATAACACAACATCACTGAATTCAGAGAAAAACAAAATCCTAAAGAAAAAAAAATCCAAATAAAACAAAAGCTCCACCTAACACGGGTGAAGAAATAAACAGAAGATAAATTTTAGCCCTTCAATGAGCAAGCAAAGAGATCCAGTCACCAAAACCTTTACACAAGCTTGTAACTGTCTGCTCACCTGTGTCTGATGAGATTCAGGTAGATGTTTTCTGTGAATGAATCTCTTTTTGTTGCACTCACCAAACACCTCCTCTGCAGAAAAAAAAGTAAGGAACATATAAATAATTCAAGATGCTGAGGAAGTAGAGGAGTAGGAAACAGCAAGAGAAAGAAAACATTATACATTCATTTGGGTAAGGGAAATAACTGAAACCCTCACATTGAGTCTAAGTAAAATTGAAGATTATATCTATACCCTGAAAACAATCTCAAGCAGAGTCCAAGATGGCTGAATCGACAACTCATAATAGTTAGCTGCTAGATAGAAAAAAACCTCTGATGGAAGAATGAGCGATAATTGATCTCTGAATGTTGTCATCGTTATCAATGCATTGCTCAATGCATACAACATTTTGTGGGAGATAAAATTAAGAAAAATTAATTGCTTGGGGTATTTCTATCACAGATACCCTACAGCTTAAGCAAAACTTCCCCAGAAACAAAAAGCAGCCATTCTCTACAACAGTGAAAAGCATACCTTTTCAACCTCCTCTTTGGCCACAGTAGTATTAAAGAAAGACTTCAACCAACTCCATTGTTCCTGAAATGAAATAAGAAAGTAAGAAAACTTTATTTGCTCTCACTAAATGTATAGAAATTATATACTTTTCGTATTGAGCACACGTTTAATCAAAACACCTCAATAAGTAAATTTCAGCATTTCAACTTTAATGTGACCGTTCGTGAATTTTTACTGCATTGTATTTTTTATTTTTAGTGAACACATTTTCAGCCTCACTGCGAGACTATTTTTCTCATATAAAATGTAACACATATGCATTTATATTATATGTATAATACGTTGTTTTATGTACGCACTTGTCGATTAATTTTTAAGACGTGATGTCTTTTTCGTTGTAATGCGCATTGAGCATCTTTTAGAAAATGGAAATGCGCAGTATAAATGCTATTTATTATTATTATTATATAAGTATTTAGATCAAAAAAGATCTTGGTGAATAAAATAAGATGTGATAGGTGTCAACTCAACCTTGTCTAAGTGAAAAGCAAGCAAGAATCCCCCCCCCCCCCCCTGGAATTTGCACCAAAATTTTGTAGAAGCAGCAAGTTTTCTTCCTACAGTATGTGTGGCATCCTCGGCATTCAGACAGAATGTCTGTGTGTTTGTGTTTGGTTATTTTTGTGTGTGTGTGTTTGGTTGCTTTGTTATTTGTGTTTGGTTGTTTTGTTGTTTGTGTTTTTGTTTTGTTTTTTGTGTGTGTGTGTATGTGTGTTTAAAACTCACAGCACCGGGTGGAAGTCCATTCATTCAGTCTCAGAAAAAAATATTCAAAGGGAGTCAGTGTTTCATACAATATCTTTGCACTCTTCTAAATAAGACAAGAAAAAGTAAACCTTGAAATGGACAATGCATAAAAAACGTACAGCTTCTTTTCTCAGCAAGTTTTTGTGAACATCAAACTCTTCCAGCAGAAGGGTTTTCCTCAGTCTGTGTACCATGATGCTGATCTGGGGTGCTTGACTGTAAGGCATTTTCAGCAAAGCCTTGATGTTCTATACAAAGTAGAATTTTCATAAAATACGAATATCAAAATTCTTTTCAATAAATTCCATACATAAGTATCATTCCATCGAACATACTTTTAAACTAACTCCTAGAATCTTGTCACTTTCAGTACAAATACAAAAGTTACAGTTTCATTACAACTAACAACACATCTTATAAGTTAGCATGATGGTCAATTAAGACAATGTTTACATTCTCACAGACACATTTCCCCATTTTTATGACCTACTGACAAAATTCGGAAAGTCATGTTCACAAATGAATCACCATGAGTTTATAGGGTAAGGTAGAGGCTATACCACAGTATTCACCAAATGTAAATCTCAATTGAAGCTCTGTCAAAATTAAGTAACTTTTCAAGTTAAAAAAAAAAGAAAGATGTTATTACATTACATCAACAGTTTAAATGTCAAATCCTCTGAAAGACCCTCCCCCATATAGCAAAGCAATGTGCAAAGCCATTTAATGGGGTCACCGTGAACTTAAAGTGTACCTGCCCATTCAGTTTCAAAACAACTGAATTTGACTTTTTAAAATGCAAAATTCTAAAACAAATTAGCATTTCATGAAAAAGGTGGAATATGGGGAGAGTTCTCTCTAAATTCAGTTTCAATCCATCACAAAGAGCTTTGCTCTGAACTTGAATGGGGTTTGATTTACATGACCCTAAAAAATAAATGCACCCGCCCCCAAATACAAACCTTAGATGATGAGATGACATCCACTTCGCCAACCAGATCTTGGTAAGAGTTAGCCATGTTTAAACTGAAAAAAAAAAGTAATAAGTAACCCCATTATTTTACAAACTTTTGTGATCCAGCGGAAAAATCATGATTCAAATGAGCTCCTGAAACTGACTCACCTTGAGAACAAAAGGTAAGTTACTAAAGACAATTAACAAAAATTGTATCTTTACTCACTAGCACATTGTTTTATAAGACCCCAATGAATACGTTTTTCTAAATTCCGATTATGACATATTAAAACACAAAACCTAAAAACAATGCATTATATGAAATCCTCTTTCTATTACAAACTTAGAAATTAAATACAAGTGCTATGATTTTGAGAGATCCTTTCCACGAAATTTAAGTGATAAATCTGATCGTATACACAGCATCACTTTTCACACAATGTGACTTTCAGTTGGCATGACTCATCAGCCCTCAGAGGCATGCTGGCTAGAGGAAATCGGGTGGGGGGGTTTGCATTTTAATATAAAGCAATGTAACTTCCACTTCCAGCCCATGTCACGCATCAAACTTCTTAACACTAAGCTAGGTCTTGCAATTTATCCGGCTTTTCAGTTGTTATTTTGCATTTTTAGTTTGCATTTGAAAACAATGTTAATATGGTGCCCAATCTGATGTCATTCTAGCTCCACACCTTTACTAAATTATAATTTATTGAAAAATAAGCTAGATAGATTTTTTTCAAAGTTAGCGCAAAACTGACTATCAATGCAGTGTCTTTTCACATGTTGAACTACAAATCTGCTTAAATCATTGTAGCTGAGACATGACTTTTTTATAATCAGCTCGGCTCACTCAGTGAAGAGTGTGTTCAGTTCTCTTAATCAAATCTTTAGTGATGTCTATCAAAATGTCTTAATAGCACTAAACCTGTCAATCAAAAGAAAACTACTCTCCATTGAATCAATCATGGACATTTAGATAGCATTTTCTTCCAATCTTCTCGCTTTATCTGTAAATGGACATCACTCTAGTGTGAAGGCTGCTGTTTGACATAGGTCATGGATATCACTCTAGTGTGAAGGCTGCTGTTTCACATAGGTCATGGACATCACTCTAGTGTGAAGGCTGCTGTTTGACATAGGTCATGGATATCACTCTAGTGTGAAGGCTGCTGTTTGACATAGGTCTTGGACCTCTCTGCCTAGTGTTGGGCCAATAGTCCCTTCATTTTTTCTTCCAATAATAATACGAAATTCATGCAACACAGATGAGCTAGGCTTCAGTATTGCATTGTGTATGAACTGGATGAGAAGCATACTAAAATCCCACTGTTGGTGCGCTGCATACAAAATTACCTGCTGAATGGGGAAAATGAGGAAGCACCAGGCATAGACTGTTCGCCAAACATATAACATCCTGCTCGCTGTCTGTCAGAAGGAGGGAAATTCAAATCAGTGTTCAGTCTGATGGTTGAGAACTGAACAGGGGTCTTCATTGAGCTGTACTTAACCACTGCTGTGGACTTGACGTCTGATGTTGCCATAGTACCAAATCCTCTCTCATTATCCTGTCAGAAAGAGCAACAACAGGAACACAATGAATCAAACCGCATCAAAGATGAATGATGAAAGACAAAAAAGAACGAGCACACAGGAACTAAAGCTTGAATCGTCTAAGCAGCAAAAGGGTGAGTATAGGATTAAGAGTTGTAATTCTCATCACACTGACCTCGTATCAAGGCCCCAGCCTTTGACCTTTCTTCTAGATAGTCAATGGCACATAATGCAGTGGTATGTGGAAGGAGAATCATATACATGCACGCTCACAAGGCTCACTGTCATTCGACAGAGAAATTAACAACAAATATGGGATTTGTTAGGAAGTACATATTGAGAAAATCTTTTAATAATCAAGCGATCAGTTGTGTTCATGGCCTTCCATTAAATAACAATCTCTACCAGTGGAAATTAACAAATTCACCTTTATGTGAGAGGTGTAACTCTCATGAAATTGAACAAGAATTTCCCTTTGTATTTTTTTGTTCACACTTTATCCATAAAAAAGGAAATTTTTAAATCCTCCCAGCCTGACTCGGCCCAGTGACAGAAATATGCAATGTCTGACCCACGATAAAAGATATGTGCACATAATAACAATATTCATTACGGAAACTTTATTTATCAAAAGAGTGTTTTAGTTATATGATGTAATGTGGGCCAATGGCCTTAAACACTGAATAAACTTACTTACTTTATTTGCTGATCAGTTGTGAAAAATCAAAGCCATTTCATCATGTTACGCAATCAAACGTTTGTATTTAAAATCTTTCAAAAACACTATATAGAAGAATTGACAAAAGAGATGGCATTAACTGATTCTGCTTTTTACACAGATGGGTAAAGCTAAGGGTGGAAATAAAGAAGATGTTCAATAGTTTCTGTTAATTGGTCAAACGATGGTACATAATGAGATGCAAGCACTAATTAATGGCAATTTTAAGTAAAATTGACACATACCATTATCAGTGAGGATAAGATAGCACAAGGGAGGTGTTAAGTTTTCGCCACTGCTTGTTGATCAGTCAGGTGACCAACATGAATAGGCTGGCTCTCCGGACACCCCCTCCCATCCCCCTTCATTCCCAAGTCGAAGACGCAAAATGTCTAAGACAGATTTTTTGCTTGCTCCCTTGTGATTCTAACAGGTTTGACTGTAGGTCTCATGGACCCATCTCAAAGTGTCATTCTAAAGCACTTTTTTCTTAATTTTATCAGCATTATTACACATATTTTGACTTTAAATCCATCCATTGCAAATTAGTTTATGAGATGTATGTTTTTAATTTTAAATGAGGCCCAACAGCGTAAAAAATATGTCTCTGCTGGTTCCTTCTCTCTGTTTCTCTGTCTGACTTTCTGTTTGACTGGCTATCTACATCTGACTGCCTGTCTCTCTCTCTCCCTCTCTCCTATTTTCTCTATTCTCTCTCTATGTTCCACTCTTCTCTTTTCTTTCCTTCTCACTCACAGTCGTATTCTCTCTCTCTTTCTTTTCCTGTTTTACTTTGTTCGATGTCTTATTTCTTCATCCCCCCTCTTCATTGCTCCAGTCAACTCAAGCCGTTCACTGCACATGAAATTATCTCTTTATCTTTGTTTTGTTCACTCTCTCTCTCTCTCTCTGTCTGTCTTTCTAATTCTCTTTATTTCCCCCTTCCTTACACCGTTCATATCAAGTTAAGTTTGAAATCAATGCAAAAAATGTTTCTTTCCAGCCCTCGCAGAATGGCAGCACCGAACTCTAGCAAATAACCAAAAAATCCCGAGAACGGAAACCGTTCGGAGAAATAAATGTCAAGTTTATATTCCTGAAGGTTCGGAGAAATAGTAACTACGTTATGTTATATATAGATCTAGAATTTAATGTGATTCTGTACTGACCTGAGGCAACTTTAGCAGAGAAAAAGGGCCAACAAAGAAATAAGACATGAAGCTACAGCGAGCACCTAGCACACCTCTGTGATTGGCCCAAATAGAGATGATGTTCTTCCACCATCTATTTTTGTCATCTTCCGGGGCTTTCAAAGCAAATTACTCGGTAATTGTTTACTTTCTCGAGTTAAATTCCGGCAGCGCTTAGATCTAGACTAGACGAAACTCTACGCATCCCCGACTGGATATTCAAAACTTTGTGCTGGAGTTAAGAATACAGTAAACCATGATAATTTCATCATTTGTAAATGTAGGTGCATCTAGATCTAATAACATACTGGAGTTGGCTTTAGGCCTTCCGTACTGATTTTGATGGCCTTTGAGTATAGGCCTCTATGGCATAGAGTTCAGAGTGGGCACTCGTCGTTACAGAAGTCCTTCGCCGGAATAAAACACGAGAAAGTAAACAATTACCAATTACCCTACTCTGTAAAATTTCAACAATGAATGCTTTTTTTTTCGTAAATAACAATTGGAAAATAAAATTCAACTACGGTGTCAAAGTGCTGCAATTATGACTGTCATCAATACTCAAATACTTAGATCTAGATCTAATATAGATTCTAGATCTAAATGAAATTGGGCCTGTGTCACACTGTGTGACAAACTGGGCAGCTCCCGTCAGTAAAGGAAGTGGCTATCCTCACCCGGGGTGAGATACGATCAACCTCTCATCCCAGGTGAGACTTGCCAGTGTTGGCTATTCTCACCCGCTGTGAAACAAGACCTGTTTTTCCTAATTTCGGAATTATACTGTCTATCAATGTGGATGATCAAATTGACAAAAGCAAAGAAAAAATGATGTTATATCACAAAAGTAAGCTAATTTGATCATCTACACAGTTGCTATGGTTATTCCACTTTTCAACTCGAGCCGAACTACGCGGGTCGCCATTTTGTTTTGCCCGGAAGTTCTCACGCTACTCCTCTCTCTCTCTCTCTCCCCCCTCTCTCTCTTTCTCTCTCTCACTGCCCACAGACAAAATTTTAGTAAAACGGAGTGTCTACGTACACGGTAACCGGGCACCTAGCCTCAGTGTCTACGTACACGGTAACTGGCAACCGGACACATAGTCTCAGTGTTACGTAAACGGTAACTGGGCATGTAGCCTCAATGTCTACGTACACGGTAACTGGCAACCGGACACATAGTCTCAGTGTTACGTAAACGGTAACTGGGCATGTAGCCTCAATATCTACGTACACGGTAACCGGCAACCGGGCACGTAGTCTCTCTATCACGTATACACAGTAACCGGGCAGTCCAGAACTCCAAGCTCAGTTTTTGTCATCCGGTGTTGCCTTCATCCTCACCCCTCCCCCGACTGTACCTTTAAGAAAATCAATAACCCCCCCATTCCGGAGCCCTATACTTAGTTTCACAGCGCACAGACTCTGAATTTGAATGAACTTTGGTGATCCTAACCGGTAATCACATTTTTGCGCCCGCACAGGTTCACTGACCGGTCACGATGGTGAGCCCGACAAGACGCTTGTATGACTTTCTTTTTTCTTTCAGCAAGTGACAGCACAGGACAAATATTGATTTATTTTCATTCCGGTTACCATGTACGTAGATACTGAGACTAGGTGCCCGGTTACCGTGTACGTGGATACTGAGATAGGTGCCCAGTTACCGTGTACGTAGACACTCCGTAAGTCAAAATTGCACACTTTCAACCAACACAAGAGCACTGGAACGTTTGTTCACAGCAAAGAATTCTACACTTCTGTTATCACAGAGTAGAATTTTGTGGTTCACGGTGAACGCTACACTGGTTGGCCTAGGCTAGGCTATCACAGTGAACACACACCAGGTGAGAATAGCCAACAGTCACGCCAAAAGGCTCGCCTGCGCTATAATAATTTTCACCCGCGGTCAGAATAGAGGTGGCCGAGGTGGCCGTCAGTAAAAAAGTAAATGAAGTGACCATTTCTCCGAATGCTCGGGAAAATCAAGTTGAACCCTATTTCTCCGAGAGGTTTCTAATCTCCAGATTTTTTGGCGAGATTTAGGCGTTATCCTTTCATTCTGCCATTCTGTGAAGACTGGGAGGAAGCATTTTTTGCATCGAATTCAATTTCTAGAGCTAGAGATTTTTAAATGTCTGAATATTCAAATACTTCAGTTGTGGTTGGGGCAATGTTCCCGGACTACACTTCATTTGAAAATACTGCGAGAAAACAAGACTGCTCGACCTTGGCAGTGGGAGGACTTCCGTAACTAGCGACCATTATGAGACAGAGCAGAATTGAGGGCTTGGGGTAGGGGTAGGGGTAAGGGTAGGGTTAGGGTTAGAGGTAGGGTTAGGGTTAGGGGTAGGGGTAGGGGTAGGGGAAGGGTTAGGTCTAGGCCTCTTCTTTATTGTGTTTGATGGGGTGGTCGCTCTTTACCGTCTTACGGAAGTCCTTCCTTGGCAGTAACCTATTTTGCATTTAGTCACGCAGCAAAAACTAGAATCTATTTATTTATTAATCCTTCATAATGTCATGTAAAAAAAAAATCCCTCCACCCCCCTTGTTCACACCTTACATACACACACGTGCACACACACACACATAAGGGGGCTCTCGTGGCCTAGAGGTAAGGTGTTGGCCTCTCATTCGAATCCGGGTAGCGACCAAAAAATTTTCTTGTTCTCTAAAATTGTCTCCTTTCACCTCCTTTCCTGCTCTCTAGCAATGTTCTGTTGTCCGCTTTCATTTCCACTTTCTGCCTCCACCCCCTCACCTCCTTTGCCCCCTCCTCTGGGCTCCTGACCCTTTCTGCAGCCTTTCTACTGCTACTCCTTGGCTCCTCCTTACTGCTGTCTTTCAGCCACACCCCTGATCTTCTGGTAGGAAAGATCGGCGCTTTTTCGGTAGTTCCCACCCCCCTTATTTGATTGAGCCTGACCTACATCTAGAATCTAGATCTATATACGTTTGATTCGCGGCAAGCTAAGATATCAAACCTAACAACTGCAAAACATTTCATTAAATTGTGGTAAAATTCAGGGGGGCATGCCCCCCCTGAAACCCCCCACCATGTTTTTGTTAGGTCAGGGGGGCAAGCCCCCCTGAAACCCCCCTACTC